AAAGTCATCCATGTCTTTATGGATGTTGCTTTGTGCACTGGAGCGCAGTCATGTTGGAACAGGAAGAAGCCACCCCCAAACTGTTCCCACAAAGTTGGGAGCATGAAATTGTCCAAAATGTCTTGGTAAGCTGATGCCTTAAGAGTTCCCTTCACTGGAACTAGGGGGCCAAGCCCAACCCCTGAAAAAGAAACCACACACCATAATCCCCCCTCCACCAAACTTTACACTTGGCACAATGAAGTCAGGCAAGAACCGTTCTCCTGGCAACCGCCAAACCCAGACACATCCATTGGATTGCCAGACAGAGAAGCGTGATTTGTCACTGCAGAGAACACAACTCCACTGCTCTAGAATCCAGTTGCAGCCTGCTTTACACCACTGTATCCAACGCTTTGCATTGCACTTGATTGATGTAAGGCTTGGATGCAGCTGCTCGGCCATGGAAACCCATTCCATGAAGGTCTCTACGCACTGTTGTGCTAATCCGAAGGCTGCACGCAGTTTGGAGGTTTTCAGCTATTGACTCTTCAGACAGATGGCAATTTCTGCATACTGTGTGCTTCAACGTGCACTGACCCCGCTGTCATTTTACGTGGCCTACCACTTCATGGCTGAGTTGCTGTTGTTCCCAGTTGCTTCCACTTTGTTATAACACCACTAACAATTGACCGTGGAAGATTTAGTAGAAAAGAAATTTCAAGGATTTACTTACTACACAGGTGGCAACCTATCACGGTATTACGCTTGAATTCACTGAGCTCCTGAGAGCAACCCATTCCTTCACAAATGTTAGTAGAAGCAGTCTGCATGCCTAGGTGCTTGATTTTACATACCTGTGGCCATGGAGGTGATTGGAACACCTGAATCCAATGATTTGGAGGGGTGTCCCAATATGTTTGGCAATATAGTGTATTCCCCATATACAGTATTGTATTGATGATCATAGGGTGCAGCTCATAAATATTGAAAGAGACACCATTTATTTTCCAGAATCTAGCACTCAGTGGACACATGCCAAAAGCCTAATTACCCATTGTATGGCTCAGAATTGCAGTTTGAAAGTCTGGATGAAGGACAATAAATATACAATACTGTATATGGGAATATAAACATATAGCTTTAGAATGATCACAGTGAGAGAGAAAAGGGGGCATTCAAGATTGATTTAAATTTGTGTCTGTGTGTTTTCTTTGAGTACAGTTTTTACCTTTTGCAACAATAAAAAGATGAAGCTTTTACAACAGCTCAGTGAGATGTTAGTTTGGGTAAGTTTTGTATAATAGTCACATGTTAATTATATATAGAAATTATTAAGGAACCATGGGGCCTGAACCAGGTTTATATGTTTGAAGTGTTTGATGTTACTATACCAATGACCCCTCTCCTTTATAAACCTATAAATTCACAAATTTAAGGGTTTATGATATTCATTAGTCACCATATATCAATGTGATTGGTGCCATAATATAGTATTTGTTCACGTAGATATTTTGAGGGTATTGATTTGGAGGGCCATAATAAGTCTTTGCACATCTACTTTCTTTGCATGTGGTCACATGGCTGACACCTGTGGGATCCTAGAACAGATTCTTATGAGCTTGTTATGCAATTTATGAGAATTTTGGGTTGGGGGACAGGATGGGGACTGGCAGACTAATTACTCTACAGTTCTGAAGTTTTAGTTTGCCAATATGATGAACAAGAAATGTATCAATTCTTTACTCACCCATGTATAACCAAAGCTTGGTAAAGAGCTGGCAGAAGAGCCTATTGTACTTGGGAGGTAGTTGATTGAGGATCCATAGTGAGATCCCATGGAAAGGCTCTCAGATCCTTGGGTCTGGTCAGAGGAGTCCAGTGCTGTATCTCCACTGGAAGCGGTCTCTCGCATGGAAATAATATTTTCTTGCTTTGCAAAGTCAGGTGAAAAATGCCCAGCAGTTCCATAATCTTTTTCACACTGAAGCTCTTTATGTACAAGGGGCAATTCTCCAAAACGGACTGAATAAGAATTATTTTTATCCAGAATATAAGAGATTGGATGCTCAGAACATTCGGAATCATTTATAGTGGTCTTGGTCGCCATCAGCTCATGAAAAGACCCAGGATCCTCTGTTACACTTTGACCGGTCAGGGCTGCAGATGTGTAATGTAGGCCAGCATGGATAGGAATGGAGCTCTGCTCATAAGAATGCATGTGGGAAAACAAGGAGCCTTCTGGCCCATCTGTATTTACACTGTCCGGGGCCTGAGCCAAAGTTCTATAGGGTGTCTTATTCTGGTTGCTCACATTTACCTCGTTAAGCGTATTTTCAGGATGCAGTGGCAGAAAAAGACCCAGAAGAATCTATAAAATGTAATGAAATAATTTATACAGTAAATGCTAATATAAAACTGTAAAAGGTAAACAAGAGAAGTAGATTGTGTAGTTAAAAAAAAAAAAAACTCAAGCTAATCAATATGCAGACTAGCAATGTTTTATATGTATTTTAAAGACCAAACATGTTGGTAAAATATGTACAACCTGTAAATTCCAAAGTCCATTAAAAATTTGAAAATATCTGTGACCACTGCACATATGAGCTAGAAGAGTGCAGCCACAGACACACCACCCCATCCATCAGTTATACGATCAAACATAAGAATTAGGTATGATATTCATTATTTAAAGTGCTAATAAAGTTAATTTTTTTTTATTACAATAAAAAAAGATGCTATACTTACCTGCTCTGTGCGGTGGCTTACCTCCTCTTTTGGTACCCAGCCGGCGCTGTCCACACCTCCTCTTTTCCAAGGGCCCCATCTGTAAGCAGTGTGCTGATGGGGCATATATGCAGACATGCTCCCAAGCTGGGCTGTGTGCTTCCATAGACACACAACGTAGCCCAGCCACACCTCCCACTCACTCTACCCAATATTTGACTGACGGCTGCAAAAGCCAAAGGCTCTCGCTGCTCTCAGAATCTCCTGCAAGAAGAGGAGGAGAAAGAACAGGGCTGCAGCCAGGCACAGCGCTAGATCAAGAGGACTCTGGAAAGTGTTTAGAACAGTGGGAGGACAGAGGTTGGAAGATTTTTATCTTAGTGCAGAGAATGCATTAAGGTAAAAACCTTTTGTGTTTAGAAACACTTTTAACTCACGTTTTGTGATGCAATAAAGTACTATATTAAACATTTCCAGTAATTCAGGTATGCAGTTTGTAGAGCTCAAAAATACAATATATATTAACACCAAACCAAATGACAAATGGTGACAATGAAACAAAAAACTGTAATTGGTTTTGATCCGTTTAATTTAAAAAAAATTTTAAACAGAGGTTTTCGATTTTTTTTTTATTAAATATATAAAATCTTTACCCTTGTGTTAACATCTAAAAGTCCTGAGACCGCTGCTGAGCACTGCCATCTTAGATGTAACGCCAGTAGCCCAAGCAGACTTGGAGAGATCACTGAAGTTGCACACTATAGATTTCTCCTTTGCTCCTCCTCATGAAGCTACATGAAAGGTTATGCAAAATGAGGGGAGGAGCAGAAGAGCTGGGATAGCACAGATATTAAACATTTGCTGACTGCCCCATAGCAGATACAATGCTATAGCGCAGCCGCGCTGTGTAGAATCATGTATATGAATGAGATTCTTCACTTCCTAGTCGCGGGTGCACGTGCACATCACCGGTTCGCCGCTTTTGCTGTGATTGGTCACAGCAAGAGACGATCAGCGGGTGCCGACCAATGGATTACCGCCGGCACCCGCTGATCATCTAGAAGATTGACAGAACACAGCTGTGCCTATGCAAAGCTGTGTCCTGACAGCGCCAATGTGCTGGATTATTTTTTGTGCAAGCAGGGAATAGAACGCAGCTCATTACCTAGTGAAAACAGCACACACAGTAAACATTACACATAGTTAGGCACACAGTTAACCTCTTGATCGCCCTAGATGTTTAACCACTTCCCTTGTCATTAGTACAGTGTCAGTGCATATTTTTAGCACTGATCACTGTATTAGTGTCACTGGTTCCCACAAAGTGTCAGTGTCTGATTGGCCACCACAATACCGCGGTCTCGCTATAAGACGCTGATCGCCGCCATTATTAGTATAATAAAAAAACTCCACTGTACACACACACACAACCTACATATCTATCATATACTATGCTATAGATGCTATAACTTTTGCACAAACCAATCAATATACAGTTATTGGGATTTTTATTTTTTTACCAAAAATATTTAGCAGAATACAAACTGGCCTGAAATTACAAAGCAATTTGATTTTTTTTTTTATTGGATATGTTTTATAGCAGAAAGTAAAGAAATTTTTCTTCAAAATTCATGGTCTTTTTTTATTTACAGCACAAAAAAACAGAGGTTTTCAATTACCACCAAAAGAAAGCTATTTATGGGGAAAATAAAAATGACATATGTGGGTAATGACTATACTTTCAGAAGAGTAGTGGGCCATGATGCACAAGGAAAAGGTGGCTGTGCTAGGAAACAGACGCTCCTGGAGAGTCAGACATTTTCCAGCAAGTTCAAAGAAAACGCAAAAGCAGCCAGATGAAAATGACATCTACTATGGTGGAACAGGGTTATACAAAGATGAGAAGAGGAGAAAAAGCTAAATCGGAACTCAGAAACCAATGAGGCAAGAATTAAACAGATTTATTCTATTGGTTAAAGTTACTACATTAATAATTGTGCCATTTTCCTATAAGGGAGGAAGGAGGAGGGAGGGTCCACTTGAATGACTCACCTGCCGCTTCAGCCAAACACCTAGGTGAACTTCTGGACAAACCCATGTTCTCAGAGGACCTCAAATCAGCACTGTTGTGTAGAGAGGACAGAAGATTCCTCTGTAACATGTGTTCTTGGCTGCTGGCATCAAGAGAGCCCTAGGAACAACATTCCATTCAATTTATTCTACTTATGAAGTTATTAGTTGGCTGTGTATATTCACAGCAATTTGGGAAGTCCTACCTGGTTGAGTTCCCTGAGGCAGACAGAGCTGCTGGTGGGGTTTGAGTGAGCATATGAAGGAGTGGACACATCAAAATCTGGTTTCGGATCCAAGGGGTAGAAAGTTGACGTGTCAACGGCAGTCTCAGGAGCTGCAACAAATTATACAAAAGCAATCAAATGCCCATAACATTTTATCATCAGCTGTAGGGAAATATGAATAGACAACAGAGGTATTGTTAAAATATTTCACTATACATGAAAGATTTCAAAAACCTGTACTGGTATAAAGGAAGATGATTAATATATAAAAATCAAAACCGTTATAATCTTACTGATAATCCTTAACATTTTTAAACATGTCAAAAATGTGGAAAAGGTGGAATAACACCTCAACAAAAAGGCAGATGACTTGTTTAATAGGAAACAACTGTGCACTGCTCTTTTTTAGTTTTGGATAAAGTGGTTAGGGGTTATAGAGTTTTTAGTGCAGCCTGTGTTCCTCCTGGGGGGATTTGCCCTATTTGTCCTGTGTCCACTGTCACTAGAACAGAAAGTAAGCGGAAATCTAAAATTGTACAATTTTAACCAGAACAGTACAGAGGATATATTTTGATGGGGATATCTTTCTTAAGGGTAATTGGATCCTGTATAAATTGGCCCTTGTATATGAATGTAAGTTAGGGACCTTAGATTGTACGCCCCTTGAGGGTTAGGGACTGATGTGAATGTACAATATATATGTAAAGCGCTGCATAAATTGACGGCGCTATACAAGTACCTTAACCTCCATATGTCCATATTTCTGTGCTCAAAGTGGTACATGTTTTTTGCATGGAAATATGTAGTTTTTTATTGTAGGCCTGTAATTTTTAGGAATAACTCACTGAAATCTGTCCGAACAAGAGTCTAGTAAACAACCTGGGTATGTCAAAATTTGAAACACGAAATCAAATTATAATTTAATAAATAATCATAAAAAATAGATTTAATTCAATAATATAAGCAAACCAAAAACACAGAAATTTTAAATAAAGCGCCAAGTTCGCACATCACTGAGCAAAGTCGCAAAATCGTTTTCAGTGTCTGATGACGAATTTCCCCACGAATCATTATCACTCAATTCTGCAAGTAGTTCTAATTTACTATCGCTGTTCTCTAGCTGGTCTAAAAAAGATTTTGACCTAAAGGGACACTTTTTGGACGCCATGGACGTTTCTCAGTTTCCAGGCAGAAAGAACAGTAAAAATGCAGGCAGGGCACAGGACAAAGCACTCGGGACAAAATGTATGTGAAATGGTTTGATACAGTAATGTTTTACTATGTGATTTTAGTGAATTTAGTGAATGTTACTTTTTGTCATTTTCAAATTTCCCGCCAGTTCCGTCCCCCCGTACGTCGCGACGGCACAGGGGACAGAACCCAGAAGACAGATGCCGGCATCCGCCAGAGAACATTACAGGGGACACTACAGGAGGGACATCGCGGGAGCGCAGGACAAGGTAAGAGAACAGATCCCGGAGCAGCGCCGCATGGTAAGCCCGAGTGTAGCTCAGGGTTACCGCTTGTGGTACTGAAACTTTACCCGGAGCTACACTCGGGAATACCGCCAGGAGGTTAAATAAATAAATGGGGATTTCTATTTGAAGAGAATGTGTCTAACTTTGTTATGTTTCCAGAACAAGCAGTGAATAGGAACCTCCCCAGATTAGGAAAAAGTAGTAACAGGGGTGTTTATCCTTTCCCTACTCCATGCAAAACCATACTACTTTAGATACACTTTCATGGCACAAACTTTGCTATTAATGCCTACTTACAATGAAAGCTCAAGTTCCTCTCAAGTGACACATGGAGGTCTTTAGTGTATTTCGCAATGATCTGCTGGATGTGCCTGCTGTTCTCCACTGGGGTCAGGAAATCTCGCCATCTCATATCAGATTGAACCACCGCAGTGGCTGCTGAAGGACTGGAACTACCATCCCTGGCTTTCCCAATTACAGAATAGTCACATCTCTGCAATTCTGAAAGGACATCTAAAAAAAAAAAAAAAAAAAAAAAAAAAATACACCCATAAAATGAACGGAGAAAATGAAAAAGTTTATGTAAGAAAATTTTGCAGTTTCCCTTACAGAATGAGAATAGAAAATTATTAAAAAAAAGCTAAGACTGGTGGAAGAAAATAAATTTAGCTGCAAAAAGTATGTGTGTGATAACCGAGATGCTGATACGCCATAGAAAAGAGCCACAGAGGCCACAGAGTACTATATCCTGTACTCAGAGAATGAAGGAAACAGCGCAAATAGGGTATTATAAATAGAAACAGAAACAAACGTAAGCTGCACCCCTATGACTACGAGCCTTCGCTCGAAAACGCGTCAGGGAAGGCTACAGCAGGTTGGACGCATCACCGCCGGCGCTATTCTACGAGGGGCCCCGGCGGCCATCTTTGATTTACTCCTGGGTCAGTACCATTTTGTTGTGTGTTGGATTTCCTGCTATCCGTGCCCCTAATAAAGATACCTAAGGATATTACACTATGTGGCCCTTTCTATTTATTTGAGTTCTGGTGGGAGCCGGCCAAATCTACAGAAAAGCTGCATTCATCCGGGGCCAGGCCATGAGGGATATGCTGACCAGATCTGACCAGACCAGGATGATGACACAGGAGGTCCAGTGATATTTACACAAATGCGCAAAAGATTGCGTATCTGGTGAGTGCGCAATATTTTATCACCCGATGGTCCTTTTACTGGACGTCTGAAGATCACCCTATCTTAAGAGCACTCCTTCATTGGACTGTTTACTTTTCTCACCTTAGCCACCATTTAGTGGCGTTATTAACTTACAGTCACCGTTTATTATTGTGCATTATCGGTGTTTAAAATCATTTGTCTGCATATATAGCGCATGCACCTCCCTCCCTTTACATAATAGGGTATTATAAATGTTACAGTAAAAGCACAAAATGATTGAAAAATTATACTAACTGTATAGTACAAAAATGTAGTGTTAATATCAACACTTCAGCCTGCATGCCTTTTCAGAAATGACCCATATGACATTTTTAGGATATTGATGGTTCTGTCCACTATCAAATGTGAACTGAACTTTGTTCAGTCTTAATTTTTATTGTCAGTGATGGAACTACAGTGGATATAAAAAGTCTACACACCCTGTTAAAATGTCAGATTTTTGTGATGTAAAAAAAATGACAAAGATGAATCATTTGAGAACGGTTTCCACCTTTAATGTAACCTATAAACTGTACAAACTGTACAAACTCAGTTGAACAAACTGAAATCTTTTAGGTGGTAGTAAAAATAAAAACTAAAATATGGTTGCATAAGTGTGCACACCCTAAACTAATACTTTGTTGAAGCACCTTTTGATTTTTCATTCCAGCACTGTATGCTTTGGGTCGTTGTGATGCTGAAAGATGAAGTTCCTCTTCATGTTCAGCTTTCTAGCAGAAGCCTGAAGGTTTTGTGCCAATATTGACAGGTATTTGGAACTGTTCATAATTGTCTCTACCTTGACTAAGGCCCCAGTTCCAGCTGAAGAAAACAGCCCCAAAGCATGATTCTGCCACCACTATGCTTCACTGTGGGTATGGTGTTCTTTTGGTGAAGTGCAGTGTTGTTTTTGCGCCCAAACATCTTTTGGAATTATGTTATGGTCTGATGAAACCAAGGTTGAACCTTTTTGGCCATATTTTCCCACATGCTTTTGGGAGACTTCAGATGTGTTTTTGCAAAATTTAGCTGGGCTTGGATATTCTTCTTCATAAGAAAAGGCTTCCACCTTGAGATTCTACCCCATAGTCCAGACATAAGAAGAATACGGGAGATTGATGTACCACACAGCTAGTACTTGCCAGATATTCCTGCAGCTCCTTAAATGTTGCTGTAGGCATCTAGGCAGCCTCCCAGACCAGTTTTCTTCTCTTCTTTTCAACAATTTTGGAGGGACGTCCAGTTCCTGGTAATTTCACTGTTGCGCCATATTTTCTCCACTTGATGACTGTCTTGACTGTGTTCCATGGCATATCTAATGCCTTGGAAACTCTTTTGTACCCTTCTCCTGATACCTTAATACCTTTTAACAATGAGATCCCTCTGATGCTTTGGAACTCTCTGCGGACCATGGCTTTTGCTGTAGGATGTGACTAAGAAAATGTCAGGAAAGATCTACTAGAACAGCTGAAATTTGGGAGTAATCAGAGGCACTTTAAATGATGGCAGGGGTGTACTGACTCCTATTTAACATGATTTTGAATGTGATTGCTTCATTCTGAACACAGCTACATCCCCAGTTATAAAAGGGTGTGCACACTTATGCAATCACATTTTATTTTTTTTAAGCTTACTCCCCCTTCCCTAAAAGATTTCAGTTTGTCTGTCAATTGAGTTGTACAATTTATATGTCACATTACAGGTGGAAAAAGTTCTGAAATGATTTATCTTTGTCTCTTTTTTTTTACATCACAGAAACCTGACATTTTAACAGGGGGGTGTAGACTTTTATAGCCACTGTATATTCTCTTAAGGTGGTGATGCAGTGAATTTCAGTATTTTGGATTTTCAGCCCACCTTTCAATAAACTAAACTTTACTCATTCATTGCTCCCCACTCTATAAAAAAATCTTTGGCTATACAGAAAATTGCTAATAAGCTTGAACTGCTGTATTAAAAAAAAAAATGGTAATATTGATGCTGGATTTATGTTTAAGAAACAGCATTTGTGATGGAGGTGAGGATTTCGGTCTTAAAAAAAACCAGACAGGAGGGTATATGAAAAAAAATCTAAACCTCTACTGTTACAATAATGCAGTCTTACCTAGAAGCTGTATGTCCAATTATTGAGTTGTGTCCTACCTGAGCTCATATAGAACATATACCCAGCTCTCTATTTGGGCTGCAGGTAGAGCCTAAACTATGAATTCAGCTTTTATTTCCTTTAAAGTAATCCTGCAAGCACATCTGTAATTTGACATTTTTATGAGTATCTGGTGTCAGTGCTCAGGCAGTCCAAGGGATGGATGTTCAGCCTGACCCTGTAGTATCATAAAATAAGAAGAATGGAGATAGGTGCTATGCAAAGGGTACAAGCCACAGATCAAGCTCTGCTGATGGGAAGGTCTTGCTGCTGGAAATGCATTAGGTGTAAAGACTAGGATGTTTTATGGAAACCACAGTAGCAGAAAAATGTTTGACAGAACTTATTTTTTGCAACATTTGAGGTCTTTTTTTTTTTTTTTCATTCCATACAATACAAACCAGAGTTTGCCGGACTGCAATCAGACTTCTCACTGGTCAGGAAACTGCCAGTTGATATGGTGGTTGTAGACAAATAGTCACTGGTGCCATCTGGGGTCTGCCCATGCATTGCATTCACCTGCACAGACAAAAACAGATTCAGCCATTTTCCTGGCATTAAAATAAAATGGGATTTAAGCAAATGTCCTGAGCTCAGATCAAGTGTAGAAACCACCATGGTGTATTTCTGGGCATTATATATTTCATCACAGCTCAAAAAAAAAAAACAAACAAAAAAAACAAACACACACAACTCACACAAACGAAACTCACAAAACAAAAACGAAACACACACACGACAACTCACAAAACAAACGAAACACACACACGACAACTCACAAAACAAACGAAACACACACACACAGCTTCTCAGTTATTGACAAATCACATACCAGTTCAGCTGGTAATCAGATTTGGCTATTTTTCATCATTGATCATTTTATTTCTAAAGAAAAATGATCTCAGATAACAGCAGACGAATACATAATAAAGTTTCATGAATTTTAATACGGTACTTACAAGTGTTGCAGTCCCTTGTGGAGCTGAGGGGTTACGGAAAGGCTCTGTTCCATTACCAGCAGGGAAATCTGGTGCTGCTGAACTATGAGGGTTATCTAAACAAAAAATGAGGACATCAAAATAATCACAGTCACAAGTATGTCCCACTAATGCTAATAACGCACACTCTATACCAACTAAAGGGCTTGATGATGTCACACCATTGAAATAAACTGAACAGGCTAAATCCTTACCAATGAGGCCATAGACAAACTAAACGAATCTCCAAAGTTTGCAGTTTCAAACTCCACACTTTTAAAGCAGAAAACTGTACCTAAACATCAAAAAGGGAAGAACTGCATAATTTACATTAAAATTTGCCCTATCTGTATAAAAACACCCAGTGCCTGGATATGGGGGCTCTGGACTCAGTGGTTTCCTGGCCTCAGGGCCCCTGCTCCTTTGGCTGGAGGAGAGGCGGAGGGCGGGGAGAAGAGGGGCTGAGGGCGGGGAGAAGAGGGGCTGAGGGCGGGGAGAAGAGGGGCTGAGGGCGGGGAGAAGAGGGGTTGAGGCGGGGAAGGAGAGAGGGCTGAGGCGGGGGGAGAGAGAGGCTGAGGGGGGGAGAGAGAGGCTGAGGCGGGGAGAGAGAGGGCTGAGGCGGGGAGGAGAGAGGCTGAGGCGGGGGAGGAGAGAGGCTGAGGCGGGGAGGAGAGAGGCTGAGGCGGGGAGGAGAGAGGCTGAGGCGGGGAGGAGAGAGGCTGAGGCGGGGAGGAGAGAGGCTGAGGCGGGGAGGAGAGACTGAGGCGGGGAGAGAGAGGCTGAGGCGGGGAGGAGAGAGGCTGAGGCGGGGAGGAGAGAGGCTGAGGCGGGGAGGAGAGAGGCTGAGGCGGGGAGGGAGAGAGGCTGAGGCGGGGAGGAGAGAGGCTGAGGCGGGGAGGAGAGAGGCTGAGGCGGGGAGGAGAGAGGCTGAGGTGGGGAGCAGAGAGGCTGAGGTGGGGAGCAGTTCATAGAGATGCTGGAAAGCCAGGCCAATGGCCAGAAGGAGTGCAAGGAGGTAAACCGCTGCCTGCCAGCATATCAGGTCCGGGCACACAATGCACAAAGCCGGACTGTTCACATGGCACCAACTTCACGCAACTCACACTACAGGAAGCCTGCTGTACGGAAACATGGAAGCTGCTTTCACTCTGTGTTTTTCAAGGCACAGGAAACCTAGCAACTAGCATTTCAAAGAGCTCAGCAATGGCAGCACATAGCACATTTTCAAAGAGCTCAGCGCTACATAAAGCAGCACATAGCACATGCATGCCCTATGATGTATCCCTATATTTCAGGTGATGACCTCAGTATTATGGCAGTAAAGTAAGAAAGAGCGAGCAAGCGAGAGAGTGTCGTGTAATGCGGTGTGCTATCTACTCTGTTCTCATGGCATTGAGCAGGGCCCTGTAGAAACTGAAGAGAATGTAATAATTTTTAGCTGGCTCCTAGAGTCAAAGCAAATTTTTAAGCCCTGCTTTAAATTATAAATTTTTTTTTTAACTCCATAAAAGCTTTATTAAGAACACAAAAAGTATTATAGTAATTATACACATGAATGGTAAGACAGAGAGATTGCAACTTTAAAACTCAAACCCAACATTTGGGTATGTCAGAGGTAAAAGATCAAGTAAAGAAATCCTTTTATGAATACGAATTGACTATCAAGTAAAATATGAAACCGAGATAAAGAACTTCCAAGAGTTACCATTTTTTAAATATACATATTAAGCTAATCAGGGTTTCCAACCACATGTTCAACCTCAATAATAATGCATGACGAGTAGCAGGACAACACATCTGAGCTCAGATCAAGTGTAGACACCACCATGGGTAATTTCTGGGCAGCACAGATGTCATCATCGCTCAGATGAAACACACACACAGAAAATACTCTCCGTCCACACACTCTCAAACATACAGACAAATAACCATACCCACATTGTCCCATTCAAAATACAACACTTACAGACAACAGTCACAACATACAGAAAAAGATTCACACACTTGGCTTCTCAGAATGATAGATCACCTACCAGCTATGCTGGTAATCAGATTTGGCTATTTTTCATCATTGATCGTTTTCGCTTCTCAAGAGCTAAAAATGACCTCAGATAGCAGAATTCAAACAACTAAACATGGTAGAGCTAATGAGTAACAAACACAGAAAAGAAAAATCTAAGATTGTATTGTACTTTAAAAATAGAGTGCAGTTTACTTTGCGGAGTTAAAAAATTAAAGAACATCTGGCTGACATCAATATCTCCAGTGCAGCCAACCAAACAGCTGTTACCTGTGCTGCTGGGATCATGGGATAGTTCTAGAGTTAACATTTCTCTCCAGGATAGTTTAGTGTGGCTTTGGTTTGAGCTCTCATTACCACTGCGGTCAATGCTGGTAATCGACAGTCCAGAAAGATCTAGCTCTCTGTCCGGATGACAAAGGACTTCTGTTGCTCTAGCAAAATCACTCTGACCTAAATTAAAAAAAATAAAAACATTTGAACAGAATTAAAAAATAAATTGGAATTTTTGGAATTATATTTACTGCAGTTAGGATTATTTAGCCCAGGGGTGGGCAACCTCAAAGTGGTGAAGATCTACCTGAAAAACATGGCAGAAGTCAAAGATCACCGGTCAGTGTCACCTCCTCACACCTGAATTAAAGTTCTCATTGCTGTACTACCGTGTCACAATCACGCGCATTGCACAGCAATCACAGGTGTAAGTCAGGTGGTGAGGAGGCAACATATTGTCTCCTCACCACCTGTCAAACACACTCTGGTTGCTTTTCAGAGGAGCGGCAGTGCCTGCTGCACGTGTGAATGAGCCCTTAGTTGCATTTGACAGTGGCAACCTGAGGGCTCGTTCACACGTAAAAAACACATCTTAACTATGGGGTGTTTTACCACCCCCCCCCAAACTGAATGCAGGAGTTTTGGTGCACTTTCAGAAAGTTCACCAAACCCACAGAATAAAATAGAAGTCTATGGCTAAGCACAGGAAAGCTGCAAGTAGAGTGTCAGTGTGAAAGCAACCGTATGCTATGCCCAGTGTATTGCTTCACACTGTCCTGAAGATCTCTTCTTTCCTGCTGCTGGCACCACTCTGGAAACCGCTAGCAGGGATAAGAGGTGGGCTGCAGCTGGCATCACTCTGCATGGGGACAGGAGCTGGCACTACAGAGGAGGAATTGGCTTATGCTGCTCTTGCTCCCTTCTACAGCTCCAACTTTACAAGTAGTCCCTCTACATTGCACGCTGTTTGATGCTCTGGGATGGCAGGTCAGACAGTCCAGACCGCGTTCTACCAGTCACCTGGCCATGGATCTACTGGTAGATCGTGATCTATGAGTGCTGACCTGCCGATTTAGTTCAACTAAACTCACAGTTTAAGTACACTCCAGGTTAATCAAAACAAAAAGGTGTGCAGCATCTTGCAGTTTTTTTTTTTTTTTTTCTTTCCAAAGCAGTTAAATCCTGAGTAGGATAACCCATCCTTTGCCAGCAGTGGCATAGTGAGACCCTTGCTCCCTGTAGGAAAGCCTTAAACTCTCTGCAGAGGTCCTCTGCTGAGTCAGATCTGTAGCTCCACAAAGCGCACAGCTCATTCTTCCTGTTAGAGCAGATCTTTATGTCAGATTCAGTAGCTGGTGTGCTGGACTTATGCAGAGACAACTGCCTGTACACAGAGAGAAAGGGCCCCACATGACAGCATACTCACAGACAGGCTTTTTCTCCTCAGACTATAGTGGCTTTACATAAAAAAGAAGGCAGCAAAAAAAAAAAAAAAAAAGTATGTTACACACTGAGCACCTTTGCTTTGCTGCACATTTAGCAGATTTAAATTGAATTCAGTTGGAGCCTATTCTGTAGAAATTCAGCCCAAAATAAATCTAGTACACCCAAGGCTTTCTCCCTAGTTTAATCTGCTCTACCCAAGAAGATAGTTGGCCTGGCTGCTGTCAGGAGGCCAAAGCAAAAAAAAGAACAAAATCAAGCGGTAAGCATGCACAGCAACAAAGATCTGCACTGGCAGACTTCTGTTCATGTCATAAATGTGTAACTCTCTATGTAAGTCATGGGAATGCAAAAGCAACTTGAAGGTGGTCAAATTCAGGTCAAATAGACCTGTAAATGAAGTCTGAATCTCTAAGAAGCATCTGAAAACTGATGTCAAAAGCAAGCCCACTGCCCGAGAATACAGGCCCTAACCTACTCAGTATTCCAGTACTAAAAGATCAGCGATCAGGTATTAAAAGATGCCCATGCATGACTGGTTCTCTTGAGAAGATAAAATTACTATCCAGTGCCCAACATTTCACTATTTTATACTTGTTCCAGGTTAGCAATTGCTTAAAGTTTAACTGAAGGCACATTTTTTTCCAGTTTTGGACAGAGTGCAGAGGGATTAGAGCCCTGTCAGTTTTTTTTTTTTTTTTTCAGTGGAACGCTTTATGAATGTGTGTGTTACCCTTGCACAGGGGCCATGCTAATCTTCTCTGTATTGTTCCATATTTAGTGCTGCCAAAGCAAGCACAACCCTATCAGGTTTTTATTTATGTCTTCGTCCCCATTTTTCCAGGGATTTTCTCTCACTTCCTGTTTGGCTATGGGACAGGAAGTGAAAGTAAATCTCCACAACGGGACACAAATGGCAAAAAAAAAAAAAAAAAAAAAAAAATCGGACCGGAGTCATAACCCTCCCTTGCTCCATGTAAAATGGGGGGGGGGGGGGGGGGGGGAGTTTTGCCTATAGTTCTACTTTAAAAAGCAAGAAAACCTGTCACTTTGCCTGAAATGGGCAAGTTCTCCTTAATGCAGGCCTCACAACTATCAGCCTGAACTTTATGAAAACCTAAATGTGAATAGGGCTTTACTATTGAGTACTTTTTGCCTTTTTTTTTTTTTTTTTTAAGTCAAACAGCAGTATTCTGGCATTCAACCACTGAATGCAAACACATTTCAAACGGAGGACACGAGATACCTGTTTGAGTCACATTGCTTTCAGCTAGTCCTGCGCTAGAACGTCGGCCGCTAGTGGGCGTCTCCACTTCCATGATGGCGCTTAACTCATGTTGCTCAAGGAATGGGCCCAGTTTGGTTTTTGTAACAGGTGGCTTTGAAGGTCTCCATCTTTGCTCTCTTCCTGGAGGTTTGAGAACACTGCTACTAAGGTCATTACCTGCAGAAGAGAGTAACTGGTCATATGATGGCAAGAACACAAGTGTTAGACTTCTCCAACATCCAACAGTAAAGAGAAAAATATTAAAATATTACAAGGACAAGTCAGGTTTGAGGGTCAGGTAGTGGTGTGGGGGGAAGTCCCTCTATAACAAGGTCTTAAAGTGGTAATAGAAGGTTTAGCTTTTTTTTTTTTTTTTTTACCTGCTCTGTGCAATGGTTTTGCACAGAGCATCCCCAATTCTCTTCTCTGCAGGTCCCCCCGCTGGTGCTCCTGGCTCCTCCCACTTGACCAGTGACCTCCAATTACAAACCACTTGCTATGGGGGCACTGGTGCGCGCTCGCTCCTGGGCTCAGCTCTATGCGTCCATAAGACAAAGCACACCCCCACTCTTTCCTCATTGGCTTGACGTGATTGACAGCAGTGGGAGCCAATGGCTCTTGCTGCTGTCTCAACCAAGGAGGAGAGGGAGTCTCAGGACAGCCAAGGCTTTCATGCACATCGCTGGATTGAGATGGGGCTCAGGTATTAGGGGGGGTTGAGGGGAGAGAAGTACACAAAATGTTTTTTACCTTCATGCATAGAATGCATGAAGGTAAAAAACTACAAATTTTCAGCATTTACAACCACTTTAATGCAATACGAGAAACAGAACACCAATCTTTGGGAAAAAATATCATATTTTATATCATATAAAAATATTCATTATTGCCACCTTTTCCATTTGCTCGCACCTTCCTACTTTTTTTTCTTTTTGGCTGAGGGACAGGTGATTGCAGCAATCTGAATGCCATTTGCAGCACTAGGACCATGGCTGATGATTTTTTCTATGACTTCTCCCAGCAGCCCAATTATGAACACCGACAACCGGCTAGCTCAGAAGAAGGTCAAATGTACCAGTCAATGAATTCTAAATGATCTCTGGAGCATCTGTAACTGCTGTTAAAAGTCAACTCATTGACATAGCCCAAACCTTGGCACACAGGTCCAAAACACTCAATACGTAGAGTCTGGAGGAAGCCCATTCATCACTGGTTCTTTTGAAAAGATGCAAGTTTTTGGGTAGTATCTTTAGTTTGCAGTGCCCCAACACTTCACTGCTTTGCACCTGTTCCAGGTTAGTAACTAGCTAAATAGCTAGTAGAGTTCTCGAGAAAACCTGTCACTTTGCCTGAAATTGGCAAATTTTCCTAAACACAAACCAAGAATCTCCAAACATATCTGAAATTTATAAAAACCTACTATCATGTGATCACCGCTGTGGTAGAATACCAACACCCAGCCCCAGAAAGCCCATAATACCTGTATTTGACCTTCTCCAGCATTCAATACAATGAAAACAAAGCCATATTCATATTCAAATGACGTGTACAATGTAACAGGACAGCCTTCTACACTGCCCTCAATATACACAGCCACATTTGTATGTATTTATATAGTGCCAAAAAGTTATTCAGAATACTTATATGTAGGTAACCAGCCCATAAAATTGCTTAAACAAACTACACTGCATCTGAGCACCACAAACCAAAAAAGCTACCCAATTCATTTTTAATATTCAACGCAAAGTCCCCCATCAATCCATGTCTCCATGCTTTATTTTGCTGAGCAATCACTTTGAAAAACACCCCCTAGCAAGTCTGCTTGTGTCCATCTTGAGTGAGGGCAGTTGATTCATACAGCATTTACTTACTGGAAACCACCTGCCTTTAGCCCAGGCATGCAGGCAGGAGGGTGTGCTTAGTTGAGAGAGCCCTTCCTCCCCTCCTGAAGACAACTGGGATGTATGACATTTATCTAGGCAGGGAAGCCAGTAGCTAAAGAAATGTTAAAGCTTAAAACAATAATGATATACTTTCCTATTCACTAATGCCAGCAGCATAAGGATTAAAAAGGTTAGTAAAGTAAAGGTTGACTGAGAGAGTGAAGTTTTACTTTAAAATCCCATCATTACTGGTAATCTGAAGAACTGGAAACACTGGTTCCTGAGAATGTGAAAGTGCACACTGGGCACAAGTTAAACCCAATGTGATCATGCACCCAACAGATAAAATATCACATGCCCAGCAGAACTATGACAAGCACTGCAAAGGACATAAAACACCATCACATCCACTGAGATCAACTATGACAGTCAAAGACGACACATCTAATAGTAGCACCATTGTGAAATATTGCTTGGAGCACAAGCCATTAAAAAGACAGTGCAGTTTGTAAAGTAAAAGCTAAGAAAAAAGCAGCTGACAGATTTTTATTGCATATCACTCTTCAAAAAAAACACTGACGAAAGGGCTTAACGTACTTAAAATTTTAAACAACGAAACACCTAAATGAATTACATGTTTGTGAATGGACTTGAAGGATTTTGAATACCCCTAAGTCAATCTTGAATCAACCACCTCTGCCCCACTGCCGATTTAGGAACCTGACCCTAATTTTCCTGGCGGAGCTAAGCAGCCCCCCAATGTCACCTCTCCATCAACAATGTTCATTGGTCAGTGAATTGGCATCGTTGTATCTATCCAGTGACCAGGGAAGTGACCCAGGAAGCTATAAGGCTGAACCAGAAAGAAGAGATAAGTGGCTGAACAAGATTACAAAAGCCCAAAATTCTTTGGCAGGTACATATTTACCATATGTCTCTAATGTTTTCTGTCCCGGTTTTAATCACGTTTATACTGGATACAAAATACCTACCAAGTTCCAGTGTGAGATCTTCTTGGCTACGGTCATCCAGAGCTTCTAAGAGAGTTGACATAAAATGAGAACGATCCTTATTCAGAATCTGGCAGAAGTCAGTAGGCAGCTTGTTCTGTCCAGGGTTCAAAGCAAAACAAAGAAATTATCATGAAAATGTACCAATATAAATACCCCATTTCCAGTCTATAAAGCCTATGATAGATGCTGCCTCTCAGGACTCAGGGGTTCACATTTATTCCAAGACAGTCAAACAGAGCATGTTTAGATTCACTGTGAGTGATTTCACCCTCCCAGCACAGGTGTTTCACTTCCCAAGAAAATCCTTTTAAGGGCCAGGCCATTCAAAACATGTCCAGCCTCCATTCCGGATAATGACTGTTTAGGGAAAATGTGTCAGGCGGAGCGGTTCAGCATCATGCATGCCTGCCGAACCCGCAGCAGTGCTTTGTGTATGCTTGTATTTCAATTTTCACATGTGAGTGATTTTTTTTTTTTTAATTATTTGCAAATAAACTACACCATGAGGTTTCTCCTGCATTTTGTTTATTATGTGGCTGACATCTGATGAGTGCTGCTAATGATTTGGGCAAAGTGATTGCAAGGGACATCCCTTCACTGATACAGATCTGGATGAAGGTCACAGCACAGCTCATATAGATTTTTTTTTTTGAGATCTCAATTTCTGGTAAGGAGCTGTGCATAGGGGATGAACACGAGCACTTTTACCAATATGTATTGGCACTGAAAGCACTTTTGCTAGTTTATGTGGAGTAAGCTTTTTTTATGCAAATTATGAGTGCATTTTTTTTTTTAAGAACTGTATTTATACTGTATAGAATGTAAAGTTGATGCAGCGCTAAAAGACTAAAGCCTAAATGCAGTATATAACCAGATAGTGAGTAATAACATGACCCAAAACCACCTAGGGATACACAGAAAACAATAGCCCTTAATAGACTAGTAACAGTGGTTAAGTGGTTAAGTGCAGGATAAGGTGTCCATAGTAAATACAGGGGTGTAAGTGAATCACAGCACACTTCAAGGAACGTGACCCCGGGCAGTCTTGCTGCAGTGGCCTCTCACCTCCACTCTACGACCCTACAGGGCCATAAAGCGTAATGTAGATCACCACGGAATCCTCCAATTCAGGGACTCTTTAGATGGATAAATAAACAGGGACAGAATTCCTCCAGGCCAGTGGATGAATAGAAGGCACTCTCCTCCGATGTCACACAGCCGCTCATATGCCCATAAATGAGGAGATAAACACAATCCTCATAGTGTATTACCGCTTTATTTGAATATAGGCAACAAACAAAGAGGGAAGGTAATCCACTTACATAACAGACGGCTTGTATGGAGATGCAATGCTGGGTGTACAGCAGGATCAAAAAGGTGCACCAAGATGGCGTCACGCCGGAAGTGCGTCACCACGCTATTGCCGTCGACGCGTTGCGTCACGTACCTCGTGACTTCATCAGGACAGCGTGATTGGCCGGCGGCACTTCCTTATAAAGGCCGGGGAACCTTTATTTAATCCTCAAGTAACTAACAACAATCAGTTAGAGGTTTTTAAGAAAATGGTCATTAGTGATATGAAAAAACTTGATCTTGGTAAAATGAGGCAAAATAAAGCATTGTACATTGGACAGAAGCGACTGTCCAAAAGGGACAATATAGTTATCAGACCTGCTGATAAAGGGGGGAGTATAGTGATACTTTCTAAGGAGTATTACGAAAAAGAATTGGAGTCACAATTAGGTGACACCAATACATATCTCCCCTTATCAAAAGATCCGACCAGTCAATTTAAAAAGGATCTTGTTGCATTAGTCAAGAAGGGAAAGGACACTAAGGTACTTAACAAAAAAGAAGCGTTATATCTGGTTCCAGATGTATGTAGATTACCAGTTATCTATACCCTACCGAAGATGCATAAAGATCCCTTGAATCCACCAGGACGACCCATCGTCATTGGGATACAATCAGTAATGTCTAGGATGGGTCAATATTGATACTTTCCTCCAACCCCTGGTTTATACAAACTAAGGCCTACCTGAGAGACACTAAACACCTTATACAATTGTTAGATGGTATCCATATCAAGGATGGTACCTTGCTTGCGAGTGCAGATGTGTCTGCTTTATATACCATCATTGATCATAAGGATGCTATGGACTCGGTGGGCTGGGGTATTAGATCATTTAGTGACCTTCTATGGCCACAGAGGAAATTTATTCTGGAAGGTTTGGATTATTGTCTCTCTCCCATAACTACTTCTGGTACAACAAACAGTTTTACAATCAAATGAAGGGAGTAGCTATGGGAGCCAGGTTTTGCTCCCAGTGTGGCCAACCTTTTCATGGCCCACTGGGAGGAAGAGGCAGTGTATCAGAATCCCCCTAAACAACTACTCCTTTATAAAAGGTTTATTGACGATGTTATTATCATCTGGGATGGATTGGAATCTGATTTATTATTCTTTCTAAATCAGTTAAATAGTAATGATAAATGCATTAAGCTCTCGTGGGAAATAAGTGGCACTTCCATTAATTATTTGGATTTGTGCATTTCGGTGAAGGATAATAATCTTCATACTAAAACTTTTTTCAAAAAAGTAGATCGGAATGGATACATTCCACTAGATAGTTGCCACTTCCCTCCTTGGCTGATGAATATCCCAAAAGGACAGCTGGTCAGACTTAGAAGGAATTGCACAGATATCAAGGAATATTATGAGCAGGCTAACATTATGGAAGAGAGATTCTGTAGCAAAGGTTATTCGAGAGAAATGATTAAAAATAAGATCGTAGAAGTGGGAACAACGATGAGGAGTAACTTTCTTGTTGATAAACCCAAGACAGAAGATTTGAGGGATCACACGGCGATTATTCTGGATTTTACCAGTAATTATAAACAGATAGAAAGTGTATTCAGACGTTATTGGCCCATTCTAATAACCGACCCCCCATTTTTTCAAAATTGTTACCGGCTACACCTAAATTCATATATAGGAAGGCTCCTTCTCTTAGGTCCAAATTGGTTCGTAGTGTATTGAACCCCCCTATTAAAAGTCCTAAGGCTACGTTTCTTGACCATAAAGGGTTTTTCCCGTGTAAGACCTGTTATGCCTGTAGAGCCACCAGGGGTTCCAACACTAGATTGAGCTCCTTTTCAGCTACTAGTAATGGTAGGTCTTTTCAAGTTAAGGACTTTATATCGTGTAGAACGGAGGGGGTTGTGTATGTTCTCCAATGCGGATGTGGCTTGCAATATGTGGGAAGGACAAAAAGACCTTTATGGGTCCGGTTGAGAGAACATGTCCAGAAGATAAAAAAGGGCTTCCCGAAACACTGTCTATCCAATCATTTTCGGCTATACCATAATCAAGACCCTTCTGGTCTTAAATTTTGGGGAGTCGAGAAATACAAGAAACACTGGAGAGGGTCCCACAAAGTGAGATCTCTAAGTCAGATAGAATCAAAATATATTTTTCTCATGGATACATTTGCCCCGATGGGACTCAATATTGAGTTCGACTTGAACTGTTTTATCAGTGATCGATAACCTCTTCCATGTAGATATTATGTGTTTTTTAGTACTTGATGTATAGAGTTCATGCAGGATTACAAAGGAGCGTTTTTTTCATCATTTTATTTAATATATATATATTTTTTTTTATATATATATAATTTTTTTTCATATATTTTTTAGTGTATTTTGTATAGGGCATTATATGATTATGCTCGTTTTTTATATATATTTTTTTTCTGATTTTCATTAAATTATATTATGTGTTTTTCTATATTTATATACATTTTTTTTATTATTTTTATATATCAGTCTCTCTATGCGTTGATTATGGAGAGACATTGATGTGTGGTGCTCTTTTTTATAGTGTATTACTTCACTGGGATTGCTAGACCTAATGGGAGAAGGTCTGTCCTTATTAGACTACATTTATATGGCTGCCTGGGTTTTTCTTGGCATGCTGGACTATTAGAATATGGCCGCGATCGCACCGCCCACTGTGGTCTTGATGGGTGCGGTTCCCGGCCTTTATAAGGAAGTGCCGCCGGCCAATCACGCTGTCCTGATGAAGTCACGAGGTACGTGACGCAACGCGTCGACGGCAATAGCGTGGTGACGCACTTCCGGCGTGACGCCATCTTGGTGCACCTTTTTGATCCTGCTGTACACCCAGCATTGCATCTCCATACAAGCCGTCTGTTATGTAAGTGGATTACCTTCCCTCTTTGTTTGTTGCCTATATTCAAATAAAGCGGTAATACACTATGAGGATTGTGTTTATCTCCTCATTTATGGGCATATGAGCGGCTGTGACATTGGAGGAGAGTGCCTTCTATTCATCCACTGGCCTGGAGGAATTCTGTCCCTGTTTATTTATCCATCTAAAGAGTCCCTGAATTGGAGGATTCCGTGGTGATCTACATTACGCTTTATGGCCCTGTAGGGTCGTAGAGTGGAGGTGAGAGGCCACTGCAGCAAGACTGCCCGGGGTCACGTTCCTTGAAGTGTGCTGTGATTCACTTACACCCCTGTATTTACTATGGACACCTTATCCTGCACTTAACCACTTAACCACTGTTACTAGTCTATTAAGGGCTATTGTTTTCTGTGTATCCCTAGGTGGTTTTGGGTCATGTTATTACTCACTATCTGGTTATATACTGCATTTAGGCTTTAGTCTTTTAGCGCTGCATCAACTTTACATTCTATTCATATTGCCCTTATTTGGTATGGGACAGATGCTGGCTGCTTTTTAGTTCTTTATTCACCACTTACCATAAGAGCGCAGGAGGATTTTTATGTGATTTAGTGTATTTATACTGTATTATGGACACTGCATAGTTGATTTTTTTTTTTTTTTTTTAGAAAATATCTACTTTTAATGCTTTCTTTAAGGGATATGGGCACCTATTAGGTATACAGTATCTCACAGGAGTACATCCCTCACATTTTTGTAAATATTTTATTCTATCTTTTCATGTGACAACACTGAAGAAATGACACTTTGTTACAATGTGACGTAGTGAGTGTACAGCTTGTATAACATGTAAATTTGCTGTCCCCTCAAAATAACTGAACACACAGCCATTAATGTCTAAACCGCTGGCAACAAAAAGTAAGTCCACCCCTAAGTGAAAATGTCCAAATTGGGCCAAATTAGCCATTTTCCCTCCCCAATGTCATGTGACTCCTTAGTAATAAAAGGTCTCAGGTGTGAATGGGGAGCAGGTGTGTTAAATTTGGTGTTATCGCTCTCACTCTCTCATGCTGGTCACTGGAAGTTCAACATGGCACCTCATGGCAAAGAAAACTCTGAGGATCTGAAAAAAAGAACTGTTGCTCTATATAAAGATGGCCTAGGCTATAAGAAGATTGCCAAGACCCTGAAACTGAGCTGCAGCACGGTGGCCAAGACCATACAGCAGGTTTAGCAGGACAGGTTCCACTCAGAACAGGCCTCGCCATGGTTGACCAAAGAAGTTGAGTGCACGTGCTTAGCGTCATATCCAGAGATTGTCTTTGGGAAATAGACATATGAATGCTGCCAGCATTTCTGTAGAGGTTGAAGGGGTGGGGGGTCAGCCTGTCAGTGCTCAGACCATACACAGCACACTGCATCAAATTGGTCTGCATTGCCGTTGTCCCAGAAGGAAGCCTCTTCTAAAGATGATGCACAAGAAAGCCCGCAAACTGTTTGCCGAAGACAAGCAGACTAAGGACATGGATGTCCTGTGGTCTGATGACACCAAGATAAACTTATTTGGTTCAGATGGTGTCAAGCGTGTGTGGCAGCAACCAGGTGAGGGGTACAAAGAGAAGTGTGTCTTGCCTACAGTCAAGCATGGTGGTGGGAGTGTCATGGTCTGGGGCTGCATGAGTGCTGCCGGCACTGGGGAGCTACAGTTTATTGAGGAAACCATGAATGCCAATATGTACTGTGACATACTGAAGCAGAGTATGATCCCCTCCCTTCGGAGACTGGGCCACAGGGCAGTATTCCAACATAACGACCCCAAACACACCTCCAAGACGACCACTGCCTTGGTAAAGAAGCTGAGGGTAAAAGTGATGGACTGGCCAAGTATGTCTTCAGACCTAAACCCTATCGAGCATCTGTGGAGCATCCTCAAAACGGAAGGTGGAGGAGCAACTTGTGAACCTCTGGTGAACTCCATGCCCAAGAGGGTTAAGGCAGTGCTGCAAAATAATGGTGATCACACAAAATAATGACACTTTGGGCCCAATTTGGACATTTTCACTTAGGGGTGTACTCACTTTTGTTGCTAGAGGTTTAGACATTAATGGCTGGGTGTTAAGCTATTTTGAAGGGACAGCAAATTTACACTGTTACACAAGCTGTACACTCACTACGTCACATTGTAGCAAAGTGTCATTTCTTCAGTGTTGTCACATGAAAAGATAGAATAACATATTTACAAAAATATGAGGGGTGTACTTACTTCTGTGAGATACTGTATATTGTTTCACTGTTCAGTATTCCGACATTGTAGGGTGCTGCAATCTCGCAACATTCACTCGGTATACTAAGCGCAAGTTTTATTCACATATATTACTGGTTCAGTCTTATCAGTATAGAATAACCACAGGCGTGCACTCTTATTGCAGCAGTGAGTTTTTTTAAACCTGATGCAATCATTAATGCAATATGAAATTATTTGCCGCTGCTTCGCTTCACATATTCCTTTTAAAAAGGGAACTGTATCGTATCTGCTGTAAGCTGCTTGCGTCACAACACAGGCATGCGTGGGTGTCAAATTTAAATTTGACTTTAATTTTAAGTATAAATACAGCTTTAAGCTTCAGTTGCTGCTTCAATATTTCTTGGCTCTGGCTCCACTGTTCTCTTACCTCACTGGAGCCAAAAACATTTTGAAGTGACTCTTGGTAGCTTCTTATTTGCTCTTCCAATTGCTTCTGTTTCTGAAGGAGATGCTCTTCCTGGCTCTTTTGCTTGAACAGTAAAGAATCCCTCTGCTTGTCTAGCTGATCTTGCATGGCCTTCAGATGGTCTTGCTGAGCTCTGATCCCCACAGTGGAGGAGAGGAGTCTTTCTCTGAACTCACGTACATTGGAAAAATCTCCTAATGGCTGGTCCTCAATCACATGTAATCTGGGCACTTGCAAAGGGATAGCTGGATCAGGGAGGTCAATTTGTGGTAGACCTAAAGAAAGTTCTGAAGGCAATGGATGGTATGTTGTGCTAGACGATGTGTCATAATCTCCAGGGCTAGATGAAGTTGACTGTTTCTCACACACAGCATCAGCATATGGAAATCTAGTATCATTCTGATTTGGACTTTGATAAGGAAAACACGTCTGAGGTAAATTCTCCTGGAGACTTCTTTCCTCCCCAATATCGCTCTCTAAGGGACTAGCACCCCCTAGATTCCTGATGCTATCAGCAAGCCTGCTGCAGTCCATACCACCTTGGGGTAAGAAGTCACCAGGCAATTTAGGACCTGTCAACACTGGAACCTGCAGTGCGCTCCCGTTCCTTGAACTCATCTGTTCCGGCTCTGGGGCCCCGGAAGTTTGAGAAATAGTTGGTTTGTGCTGTTGTTCTGAGTTATGCTTAATGGTAACTGGATTTTTAAGTAACTCATTCCTAAAAGTAGACATAATCACATTTGCAGGAGGAGGAGATGAAGGTGGATACTCTATGAATTGTGGCTTTGGGCTTTGCATACTACTATCAGGCGTCCTTTGGTGAGATATTGACAAGTGTGGATATCGCTTCTTCAACAGCATTTGGTATTCCTGTAAACGTTTCCGTGCCTCATCCACAGATTGCTTATGTACCCTAATAAAAGAAAGAAAAAAAAAAAAAAAAAAAGAGCTTGTGATTTAGTTGCGAATGTGAATCTTTACTCCGTTTATTGCCAGACCTACATGCGGGAAGGGCAATAAAGTCTAACTGTCCTTGGAATACATTAGCGAATGGGAGGGTCTGTGTTCAATATAATCCACTGACGCATGTTCAGAATTCTAATACGAAAAGCTGCATTTTTTGCATCCCTTTAGAAGGAATTGACCCTTAGGAGTACCTCACAAAAATATAATTCCTACTGCAAAGAATGTATAAAATTTGACTTGCATCTAAGTGTGGACTTCTGGGACAACATACACATATACACTTGCTGGCCACTTTATTTAGGTACACCTTGCTAGTACCGGGTTGGACATAATCTCTGAGGTTGAAACATTCCTCAAAGATTAAGGTCCATATTGTCATGAGTAATGGTTGCCCATCATGTCCAACCAGCCTGCCCATTCTCCTCTGACATCAACAAGGCATTTTCCTCCACACAACTGCCATTCACTGGGTATTTTTTTTTTCTTTTTCAGACCATTCTCTGTAAACCCTAGAGATGGTTGTGCAGGAAAATTCCAGTAGATAGAGGTTTTTTAAATACTCAAACCAACTCATATGGCACCAACAACCATGCCACGTTCAAAGTTACTTAAATTCCTTTTCTTCCCCATTCTGATGCTTGGATTGCACTTCAGCAAGTCGTCTTCACCACGTCTACATGGCTAAATGACTGAGTTGCTGCCATGTGGCTGACTGATTAGTAATTTGTGTTAACAAGCAATTGAACAGGTGTACCTAATTAAGTGGCCGGTGAGTGTATATTCATATATACACGACAATAAATTACCTGTTTTGCTCAACAAGACGTTGCTGGTACTCTCGAATCATTTGAATATGCAGATTCTCAGCAGACTCATGCGCCTCCGGAACAGAAGGCTCCTATGGTAACAAATAATATGACATTAACACTATAACTTCAACCTAAATCTTAATTTAAGAAAGAAAAAAAGATAACATTGCTGGCTTTAGTCACAATCAAGCCCTGTAAAACTTGAGTCCAAATAGCATTGTTTGGTCATTATCAAACTTTATGGTGTCCATGAAGTATGAGCATGCAATATTTATTGTGTGAATTATGACCTTTGTCAACATAGGAATGCAGCTTGCTGTTAACATCAGTTTAAAAATTGAGTGTTGCATCTGTTGATCATTTCAAATTTGAGTGTTGCATGTGACATCTTTCAAACTGCTTTTCCATTCCCATAGACTTGAGAAGTTTTGACATGAATACAAGAACATTGATCTCTAGTGTGAGGGTGTGAACTGCACCACTATTCACAAAAGGATTTATCCTCATCTACCTCTACATGCATTTAAACATGTACAAACCATAAAAAAAAAAAAAAAAACATATACTTTGAAGACAAAAAAAAAAAAAAAAAACACACACACACACACACACGAAAACAGACTCTTACACTAGGCTCAGTCTCAGGTGCTGTTGGTCCGGACCCTTCGTCCTCTATAGTCGCACTTCTATCCTGTTCCATCTCTCCTCTTCTGGTGACCTGCATTTGTTGCTGTACCCTGAAGTATTCTTCCTCTAGAGCTTGCCTCTCCTCTTCCAATCTTCTCAGTAACTCTAGCTGTTCCATCTTTTGCCACTCTAGGTCTTCCATCTGGAAAAACATTAAATTAAATAAGTTCAGCCTATCTGAAAAAAATAGATGGCTCTTATGATCTACTGCAGATTGCTTTTCAGAGGGGCGGTAAACAATGCTGCACATGTAAACATGCCCTTAAAAGGAAATGACTGAGCAATTTTTACATATCCAATGTGTACACCGATCTCAAGATATAGTAGGAGTATCATATTTTTATATGTTTACTCGGTACTTTTTACAATTCACACACAGATCTGTAACCAAATCAGGATGCAGCATCAGCAAGTTAGAAAACTTAGTTGGTGTCCTTATTGACCTGCCATGAAAAAGTCAATTACAGGGTGGAGCTGAAAGAAAAGATTTGCTCAGTGACACTGCTGGACCTCCAAAATGAAGAAGTCTGTTTATCTGTGCTTTTATGAATAAAGTGCAGCCCACATATGTAACAAGCAGAGGTGTGAAGCGCCACCACTGAATTTTTGTTGTACACTATCTAACCAAACGTTTGTGGACAACTAATCATACCTACATCATGACCCTATAACTAAGCCCCGGGTGGTAAGGATGAAAGGAATCCGGGTGTGTGGTTTGGTGGAGACATGCAGGCTGAGGATTTTTATTTACCTGGGCTGGTCGGGAGCAGCAGCAATCCTTTCCTCTTTACATTTACTAGCCCCCTGGATTGGTATTAGGACAAGCCTGCACCCCATGTTCTGGGACAAAGGGATATGCTTTCATCTCTACTTTGAGTGGCACCAAAAGCAATCTAAGAGGTCGCATGTCTTTATGGACCTGGCTCTCTGTATACAGAACAGTCACACTGCAACCAAAAAGGGCCTTCATCAAACTGTTTCCACATACAAGCTGAAAGTGTAAAACAGTCTAAAACAGATTTGTATTCTGCAGCACTAACAGTACCCTTAACTGAAAAGTATCCTTCACTGAATACACCTAGTGTTTATGTACTTTGTCATACAGATATGTGTAATGGTCTGATGTCCATAAACATTTTGCTGTATACTACATTTCTATTTTGCAACAAGGAGAAGCCTGCAAAGAGCCGTGGCGCTTGTCTTTGTAATGGCACATTACTGGTAAATGCTGTATACTAGGTTAACCACAATGGATACCTTTTTTTCACGAATCTGCTTTAAAGGTATGAGAGTACCTCAGCTACTCAATCAACCCAACACAGGATTATGACTTTAAAAGAAACATGTCAAGAAAGAAATACAGGCTGGCAATGCCGACTCTGTAATTTGTTAGCTGCCTTTCTATCATGCTCATTCAATGGCTTCAATGCATTCTGTGTCACTGACTGGGAACACAAATGTAGAATAAAAGAATGGTGAATTCACTGCCTGCATGCTTATCCTGAGTTAGTTGCATTGCAAATCTTGACATTGGTAGTCAGCCATGTACAGTGGGTATAGAAAAGAATCACCTTGCAGTCACGTGTTGTCTACATACACATGCTTCAGCATCAGCTGCACACCATTGCTCTGAAAAGCTTTCCATCATATGGTGATAACAGTGATGCTATGCCTGTGAAATGCATGTTGAAATAGCCACTTGCAGTCTCCACCAGGGATGCATATGACAGAGTGACAATGCAAGTACAGAAATGAGAGACCGGGACATAGTGTACAGTGCCTTGAAAAGGTATTCATACCCCTTGAAATTTTCCACATTTTGTCACGTTACAACCAAAAACATAAATGTATTTTATGTGATAGACCAACACAAAGTGGTACATAATTGTGAAGTGGGAAGAAAAATGATAAATGTTTTCACCATTTTGAACAAATAAATATGTGGAAAGTGTGGCATGCATTTGTATTCAGCCCCCCTGAGTCAATACTTTGTAGGACCACCTTTCACTGCAATTACAGCTGCAAGTTTTTTTTGGGTATGTCTCTAACAGCTTTGCACATCTAGAGAGGGACATTTTTGGCCATTCTCCTTTGCAAAATAGCTCAAGCTCTGTCAGATTGGATGGAGAGCCTCTGTGATCAGCAATTTTTAAGTCTTGCCACAGATTCTAAACTGGATTTAGGTCTGGACTTTGACTGGGCCATTCTAACACATGAATATGCTTTGGTGTAAACCACTCCATTGTAGCTCTGGTTGTATGTTTAAGGTCGTTGTCCTGCTAGAAGGTGAACCCCTGCCCCAGTCTCAAGTCTTTTGCCGACTGTAACATGTTTTCTTCTAAGATTGCCCCGTATTTGACCCCAGCAGTCTTCCCATCATCTCTGACCAGCTTCCTTGTCCCTGCTGAAGAAAAGCATCCCCACAACATGATGCTGCCACCACGTTACACGGTGGGGAAGGTGTGTTCAGGGTGATGTGCAGTGTTAGTTTTCCTCCACAAATAGCGTTTTGTTTTTAAACCAAATAAGTTCAATTTTGGTCTCATCTGACCAGAGCACCTTCTTCCACGTCTGCTGTCCCCCACATGGCTTCTCGCAAACTGCAAACAGGGCTTTCTTTCAACAATGCCACTTTTTTCTTGCCACTCTTCCATAAAGGCCAGATTTGTGGAGTACACGACTAATATTTGTCCTGTGGACAGATTCCCCCACCTGAGCTGTGGATCTCTGCAGCTCCTACAGAGTTACCATGGGCCTCTTGGCTGCTTCTCTGATTAATGCTCTCTCTGCCCAGCCTGTCAGTTTAGGTGGACGGCCATGTCTTGGTAGGTTTGCAGTTGTGCCATACTCTTTCCATTTTCGGGTGATGGATTGAACAGTGCTTCATGAGATGTTCAAAGCTTGGGATATTTTTTTTATAACTTAACCCTGCTTTAAACTTCTCCACAACTCTATCCCTGGCCTGTCTGGTGTGTTCTTTGGCGTTCATGATGCTGTTTGTTCACTAATGTTCTCTGACAAACCTCTGAGGGCTTCACAGAACAGCCGTATTTATACGGAGAATAAATTACACACAGGTGGACTCAATTTACTAATCAGGTGATTTCTGAAGACAATTGGTTTCACTAGATTTTAGTTAGGGGCATCACACTAAAGGGGGCTGAGAACAAAGCACACTACACTTTTTTCAGATATTTGTAAAAATATTTTCAAAGCCACTTATCAGTTTCCTTCTACTTCACAATTATGTGCCACTTTGTGTTGGTCTATCACATAAAATCCCAATAAAATAGTTTTACGTTTTTGGTTGAAAATGTTAAGGGGTATCAATACGTTTTCAAGGCACTGCAACTCAGTTACATGAAGTGGCTGAACAACAGGGTGTATTTCAAAAGAAAGATGCAGATATGAAAATGTTGCAACCAACTTTTGAAGTAACGTTAAAGTGTTAAAATGTTATTCATTTTTAATATTCAAAGTAAACACATTCATCCATGACTCCATGCTTTATTTTGCTGTGAAATCATTTTGAAAGACACCCCCCTAGCATTTCTGGCTGTAGCAATCTTGAGTAAGGGCCAATGATTCATGTAGCATTTAATTCCTTGAATCCATCTGCTCTTAGCTGAGGCATGTAGGCAGGAGGGTGTGCTTAGCTTATAAAAACCCCTCCGCCCTTTCTGAAGACTCCTGGGAAGAATGACAATTTGCCTAGGCATGGAAAACAGGAAATAGCTGAAGAAATATGAAAAAAAAAAAGTTTAAAAAACAAGTAAAAATGATATACTTTTCTTATCTATTTACTAATGCTGGCAGCACAAGGATTAAAAACTGTCAATGTTGATTGAGAGAGTGAAGTTCCACTTTAGGGCTTGTTCACACCATGATGCAGACGTCAGTTTTCAGCAAGGGCACAGCGAAATAAATTGTTCTCGATGTGCCCCGTTCACACCACACTAGTATGACGTGCAGATTTTTTCTGCACAGTGATCTGTAACATGTATACAAAAACTCATTTCAGCGAGCATGAAAACTGAGGTCTCTGCTAGAAAAAATCTGCGCGCCAGTTTCCATCAGTTTTTATGCATGCATAGTGTGAACAAGCCCTAAAGCTTCTGAAATGTAATTAACGGAGTTTAGGTCTGTTTAAGCATAAAACGGTATGCAAATTTAAGTATGATTTGTGCGCATCTCATATCCACAGGTCAAGAAACAAGTAACTAGTTACAACTAACACAGATTCACTCATATTAATTGGTGCGTAGGAGCTTTGAATTCCATTCATCCACCAACTGTCCAGCTGTGAGCAGCACAAAAGGCACAGAACAAAAAAATTCACCTCCTTTTTCCTCTCTGTCTCCATTCTGATGCGTGCTGCTTGCTCCTGTGGATGCAGAAGGATAGAATTTTCCAGCCAGAACCGTGTTATCCGTCACATCCTCTGCTTCTAAAGGCAAAGAAGATCAAAGTGTGGCTTTACCTGCCTGTGAAATAATACATCAAACTGGAAGGAAGTTTCCAACATGGGAAAGATGACAGTTAAATGTGGTCTCTCAGGTTCTCGGAGAAACAAAGTACAGAATACAAAAGTGTGAGTATATCTCAGCAAGCTAGACAGTTAAACAAGGCATTGTTAAATTCAGTGTATTCAGTGTCTCTTGTACCTCTACAAGTTCAGGTGCAGGACAAGCAGAGATTATGTAATGGAAGCAATGCTATTAGAAAAAGGCTACAAATACACAGCTCAAAAAAAAATAAAGGAACACTTTGAAAACCCATCAGATCTCAATGGGGAAAAACATCATGTTGGATATCTATACTGATATGGACTGGGTAATGTGTTAGGAACGTAAGGATGCCCCATCGCTTGATGGAAATGAAAACCATCAGCCTACAGAGGACTGAATTCAAAGACACCCCGAAAATCAAATAGAAAAAATGATGCAGCAGGCTAGTCCATTTTGCTGAAATGTCATTGCAGCAACTCAAAATGGTCCTCAGTAGTTTGTATGCCCCCCACATGCTTGTATGCCTGAC